TGAAATCCTCTGAGTGTGAGCCAAACTGCCTTACTTGGTGTGGTACCATAGCAACTCAGAGTCCTCATCATTACTTAACTCTGAAGGTCCTCGGAAGAGTCTCACAAGACACAGCAAGTACGTGTGGCCCCAGCAACGTGGGAGATGCGGGGATACAAACAAATGTAAATAATCTTGTCTGAACAACAGAAGATGGTGGAAGGGACATACAGAAGAGACCCCTGCTTCAAAGGAGAAAGCTGATAGTTAGGCAGAGGAATTCATCCCTGCACTGGTCAAATTTGATCTTTTTTTCAGCTTTTGCATACAAACACTAGAACCTCACGCTTTGCAAGCACTAACACCCGTACGCGAAAGTGAATGACTTTCCAAATACCAAACTCTGTTAGACAATGTGTTTCCCCTTCTGGGAACTCTAGGCTCATTAAAATAAACTATGAGGTCATTGAATGAAATTAGGGGAATTTTTTGGTATGTGTTAATCATAAAGTTACTTCTGAAAGTGTCTTTTGGATATATCTATGTATTTGATCTTATGGTATCACAAGGAAGGTTTGCTACAGCTCTAGGCTGCCATGTTTCCTTGATGAAGGAAAAAGAAAAGGAAATGGAAGAAACTGAATTCTTCTAATTTTCTCCAGTAGGGAAACAAGGAGGCTAGGAGGGTGCTTGAGAGAATGAGTGCTGAGTTAATAAGCTGTCAGTTTTCACGCTCCCCTTATCTTTAGTCTCCAAGAAGTAAGCTATTCAAACCGACTATCACTTGATTTACTTTGGGTGTCAGTGTCCAGATGCTTGTAAGGTGTGAAGAAAGAGAAGCATATACTTGCAGGCTTAGATCATGTCTATTCTACTGGAAGGCAGTTTACATGTATGACAGCATTCCCGAGAACACAGAAAGCATGAAGCAGCAGATTTTTCTTTTGAAACTCCAGTCATAAAATTTATGCGAGTCTTACAGTTTCAGAACATCTGAGTCTGTTTTCCTCATGTGGTTATCAAATCATTTCATCACAAGCCTATAATGTTTTGAACTTAGAGTGCCTTCTTCTGAAGACAGGTAATTGAGAAAGAAATAAAATGAATTGCTGAACTCTTATAAAAGAGTTTCTAAGGCTTCTTTTTCTTAGAGAAGCAGTTGAAAAAATTACTCCAGTGAACTCCAAATGCTCAAATACCAACAGCCAAATACAAAAGTACTAATAGACTATTTTGAAGTCAGTCTTATGATTTGTAAACAGTTGGGAATGTCAACATCAGAACAATCTTCTTGCCTGATTAGCATACCGGAATGATTAAACACTTTAAAACAGTTTAAACAGTTTTAAGTGCAACACAAATGTTAAGATATTATTAGTTAACTACTGCTGCTTTCTTATACAAAATGGTTACTCAACACACAGCAAGTGTATACAATGCTTCTTAATACAAAGCCAAATGTTCAGCTTCTACCCTGAATCAAAACCTTTAATGTCGTTTTCAGAAATGCTTTAAACTATTTACCAGGGAATCTAATATCATGTTTTCCTTATGTGTTCTCCTCTTTCTCCTCTTTCTCAGGTACCAAACCTGCTCAAACAATGGGCTGGTGGCTGGTTTCCAGAGTCAGTATTTTCCATCTGTGCTTGACCGTGAATGGCAATTCTACTGCTGCCGCTACAGCCGGAGATGCCCATATTCGTGCTGGTGAGTTCAAGCACAAAGCCTCTTTCCCCCAACAGTCTCTATAAATGTCTTCGGCTACTTGGCCTGTCAAAAATTTTGCCTGAGAAAAAGTTAACTGTGGTTTATGGGGCTAAGGAAGTTATTTCCAGTCTGGTAACAGGATTCTTGAGGATCTATGACTAAAGGAAGAGAATGAGGGCACAGCTACGCTGAACAGCGTACTGGGTACCAGCAGCAGCCTAGCTAAGCTGGAAACCATAACAGAAGTCTCTGAAGTGGAACAACATTTCAAAGATGGTGACACAGCTCCCAGTATAAATCCTGCACATTTACAGAAGCAGGAGCATCTCTATGCTATGCAATTGTGCCACAATGACTTATGGGAGTGAACTTACCGCCAGTTACCTCAGAAAAAAAATCCTCTGGCCGACAACTTGCAATTTGTGCATTTGTAGTGCATACAACTTACTCCCTCTCTCAAGGCTGCTTGAAGATCAAAGTAAAAATTAGCTACTGATCATAGTCCAAACCTAAAAACAGGTGGCCTCACCTCAACACAGTATCACAACTGCTGCTGGCAACCTCACAGAGGCTATGGAAAAATGAGCCACACATCCTGAGTTTCCCTGTGTCCCCCAGGTGTGGCTTCTCTAAATTGAGACTGTGCAGAGAAAGCTCATATTGCTCCTGTCCGGTCTGTGTAACAGAACTCACGATTTTATGCTCCAGGTCTACGAATCCAGCTGTTCTCACTGATACAAAGAATAACCCGTTTGCACTTAAAAAAAAAAA